CACCAATCGACAGCGGCGACAAAGGCAAGCCGGTCGGTGAAGACGTAGACGCCCAACAACGGCGGCATAATAGGCCAGCCGTGCAGGCGAAGACACCAGTTGGCGGCGGCAAAGGCAAGCTGGTCGGTGAAGACGTAGACACCCAACAACGGCGGCATAATAGGCTAGTCGTGCAGGCGGAGACACCGGTCGGCGGCAGCAAAGGCAAGCCGGTGGTGATGTTCTGACTGATCCATTCCTGAAGCGTAGGAGATAAGCTTAAAGCCATGAATCCCTTTTATGCATATCTGGATCTGGATCCTACAGAACAAACATATAGGATGAGTAGTATCTGATGTAAATGTAATACTCGAGAAAAATTCAAGTATTTTAAAATATTTATAAATATGTATTTCTCCTCTTGTCCATTTTGATTTCCCCGAGCAGATGACTCTGTATGTTTAAACACTCTGTCCGACTAGTCATAGCCCCCAAGCATCGGGAGTCGGCCTAGGCACTTCCTAAACATGCATATGAGTGACATGAGTTCGTCATTAATGGAACAAAGTTTCACGAATCAGAATTTACTACTCGGGTACTTTTGCAATTGTAAAGAGCAGAAAATAAATTTATCTTATCTCTATACTTTTGATTTATTCCGAATAATACTTAGCACCTTGCGTTACTCGGTCCATCCAACGAGCCCCCGGGTGCTAGGAATCAGCCCAAAGGCAACTATCCATCGACAAACCAAACGGAAAGCATAGGAAGATAGAACTCCATAACTCGATAGGCACTTTTGTACTCAGATTATGTCGCAAGCAATCAAGATAAATTTTATGAAAATTGTTTTAAAAATATGATAAAACATCTGTAGCCCCCAACTCACTAGACAACGTCGAACCAGTTGATGCAGTGAGGCAGAGGAAAAGGAAAATATCATATAAAGAAGAAAATTAATGATGACTTAGCTTTGTAATATTCCTCTTGATGACGGCAGAGTTGGCTGATGTGGGAACAAAGTCATCCATCAATGGCAATGAAAACACCAGTCGGTGGCGGCGGAAGCAAGCCAGTGGTGTAGATGACGAGGCCCATCAACGGTGGTGGAGTCCGCGAACCGTATAGGCAAGGACACCAGTCAGCGGTGACGAAGGCAGGCCGGCGGTGAAGTCGTAGACGCCCAACAACGGCGGCATAAGAGGCCAACCGTGCAGGCGGAGACACCAGTCGGCGGCGGCGAAGGCGAGCCGGCGGTGAAGATGTAGATGCCCAACAACGGTGGTGTGACCCAGAGGCGTATCTACAGGCTGCTGACTCCGGCGCCCTAGCGGCCTAGAACCAATGCCGTCCGCCGCAGTGGTCGCGCACGTACGATCACATCCCTTGCCATCTGCAACTCCGATGTCGCCAATCACCTGGATCCCTAGCCGGCAGCGCATAGGAGTTTTTTTTATCTTTCTTTTCACCATAATGGTCCTTTTGCTGGTGAATTTTTGGGTGGTCCGGGGACCACCCGGACCACCCCTTGTATACGCCAGTGGTGTGACCAACCAACCGTATAGGCGAAAACACCAGTCGGCGCGGCGAAGGCAAACCAGTGGTGAAGTCATAGACGCCCAACAACGGCGGCATAATAGGCCAGCCGTGCAGGCGGAGACACCAGTCGGTGGCGGCGGAGGCGAGTCAGCGGTGAAGACGTAGACACCCAACAACGGTGGTGTGACCAACCAACCGTATAGGCAAAAACACCAGTCGGCGGCGGCGAAGGCAAACTGGTGGTGAAGACGTAGACGCCCAACAACGGCGGCATAATAGGCTAGCCGTATAGGCGGAGACACTAGTTGGCAGCGGCGAAGGCAAGCCGGTCGGTGATGACGTGGACGCCCATGAACAGTAGTGTGACCAACCAACCGTATAGGCGAGGACACCAGTCGGCGGCGACGAAGGCAGGCCAGTGGTGAAGTCATAGACGCCCAACAACAGCGGCATAATAGGCCTGCCGTGTAGGCGGGGACACCAGTCAGCGGCAGCGAAGGCAAGCCGGCAGTGATGATGAAGATGCCCATCAACAACGGCAGAAGTAGCTAGTGCCGACGCAAACTTAAGTCAGTAGCTCCGGGTGTGCAACCGGCGACGTGACGCGACGCGATGACGATCGGGAATCACCGGACCTTGTCGACCGGCGTAGACATGCAAGCAAAATAGCCAACAGAGCATTAACCAATTTGCGATCAGAAATAAATTAATCTAATTGGCAACAAGAAATTAATTCTCTGTAGATGCAATGGGTAGTGCTGCTCCTGGCGGTTCATTATATGTCACATGCATATGCATGTTGATTGATGTAGACCGTGCGGCTCTGCATGCATGGCTCATGTACGTAGATCGATGGTAGATGGCCAGATCATGCTAAACCATCGATGTCAGAAGAGGTCATATGCTGGCCGGCTGGTTGTTGGTAGTCTGGTGCAGCTGCCACCCGGATGTCCGAGACGTGGATGGCGCCCAGATTAGATGTGATGCCATATGACTCCGTCCTCGTGCACCATGCAGCCGTGAGGACGGTGGTGGCCGCTCCATGACACGCGAGCGATCACGTTGACCCGCATGCGAGCGGCCGGGCAAACAGCGCGTTCTGCATACAGCGTGCGATCCTGGTGAGAACGACGGATGGGCGACACAGGCGTATGATCTCGCAAAACAAAACCAGGACCAAAATCCCCAATCAATTTGTCGTTAAAAATTAATACAATAACAGAACAGATTGGAGCAGTAAACCAGATTGAAGAATTGAGCCATGAAACTCATTGAGATTAATCTCAACACTTCTTCTAGAATTGTATCCATCACACTTCTTGATGGGAAACTCGGCGTACCCCTACCTGGCGCGCCAACTGTCGAAACAAGATTTCGGCAATAATAAAAGGGGGTAGCGCACGAGACCTAAAAGTGGATGGATGCGGAGACAAGAATTTAGATAGGTTCAAACCCTCTCGATGAGAGGTAATACCCTACTCCTGTTTGGGGATTTGAATCCGTCGGGTGTAATATTGATCTGACGATCAGGTGTGCTCATGCCCCCTAGAGGGCCTCCTGCCCACCTTATATAGGATGGGGGGCAGGATTACAAGATAGAAACCTCAACCAATACGGTACCGGTTTTCTAAATCTACTTTACAATATTATGAAACCAGGACTTTAAGCCGTTCCATAATATACAAGGAAACGTAATACCCAAGTCATGATCTGTTACATATTTCATACATATAAGTTATCCCCTATAACCAGTCAGATAACCATGCCGTGTGGGTATGGGGTACCTATAATCTCCACAATTTTTAAAGTAGACATTGCAGAACCTGCACATTATTTGTTATAGCATTCTCATTGGCATGTGGTTCCTCATGGTTGTGAACAAACCCATTCATAATATCAGTACCATCTTGTTCAGAAACATAAGCCTGAATAAAAAATCAAACAAATCACTGTATTGCCAAATAAGTTTACTAATTGATATTTGCGTGCTTAGTTGTATATACCTCATTGGTCACATTCTCACGTGGGACCATTGATTTCACATTCATTTGACTTGTTCTGGACCTTTTGCCTAAGCTTTCCTCACTTAGTTGCTATAATTGAAATCCATTAAAATTATGTATTGTTGTTTAAATCAAGCAGAACTTATTATGTAGTGAGATTTTCCTAAGTCACCTTAGCATTTGTGCGTTCATATGGTATAGATGGATTGAAACGACGACCATTGGCATTAGCAGAACTAATAGAATATACTTGCTGCAACTTATGATAAATGTCAATATTTAGAAATTGTGAAAGCCTCAATTAAAACTTTTCAAGTAAACACCGCTCCTGCACATGATTTGACTTAGCATTGGTATTGGCAAATGAATTATCAAAGTTATTATCAAATTCATTTGTACTGTCAATGTCAACTTGATCAAACATATCAACCTGTAACCATAAAATAACTCAGACCTTCTACTTCTATCAATCTTTTCAATCTTTGTGCATGCTTAGTTTGTATACCTTATCAGTTCCATGGTCATGTGCCATAGTTGATTCCATGTATCTCTGACTAGCTTCAGACCTTCTACAAAGCTTCCAATGCTTGATTGCTACAATTGAAGGCCAATTTAATTATATATATAATGTAAAAAATGCATATGGTGAGCATAGTGAGATTTGCATAAGTTACCTTGGCAATCATGTGTTCATGTGGTACAGATGGTTTGTGGCAACCATTTTTTGCAGGAACATAACTGATTGAATGCTTTTGCTGCAACTTATGAAAAACAACATTATAAAGACTTACAAAAGCATCAATTTTAAAATTATCAAGTAAATATTGTACCACCTGCACATTATCTGGTGTAGAATGTACATGTTCACATGATTCTTCAACATTGGATTCATGTTGGATATCATTACCAACTTGTTCAGAAATATCAACCTGCAAAAAAAGCATAATCCATGCATATGTACTGATCACATAGTGTATTCGTTAATTGATCTTTAGACAGGGAAAGATGGTGTACAGTGACACTTACTTCATTATTTTGTTCTGCAACCACAATATTTCTCCAATCCTCTCCAGGGAATTTTTGTTCTATGAAGGCGCGCATCAGAGTCATATCAGCACTCATAGCCTCTATTTTGTTTTCCATTGCATTCATTTGTAACTTAAGCATTGCATATTCCTCAGATTGTCCATTAACATCTAGTCCCTGAGAAACCCTTATTTGGCTCCAATTCTTATGATCGTAGTACCCTCGAAGTTTTGTCTCTTTTCCAACTACACGTCGAAAAACTTCATCATAATCTTTAGATGAAAGACCACTGCAACTAGTAGATTTCTTTTTAGCTAATTCATGGTAAGCCGATTCCTACATAATTAAACATGCATGAATTAGTTTATTATAAATGAACCAAACTACATTTGTGATCACAACTAACAAGGAAAGAAATTTACCACTAGTGCCTTAATGTGCTCATCCTTTTTCTTATGTGCTTCATCCCATACGTCAATGTCATGGACCTTCCCTTTAACTTTTGCTTCCTAGGCAACAAAGAATTAGAAGATAGATCAAATTTAGCATTAGAAAGCTATAGATATGTAACAATAACATTTAAGTCCAAAATAATTACCACCATCTCTTTACAAAGCCTAGCATGGCTTTTTCTACCAGTTGTATGTGGATTCCTTTGCTATTTTGAGCTTTCAAAGTTTTTCTCACATAATTTCTGAAAATAGAGAAGCTGTACTAAATACAGATGATTAGGAAACAAAATTTGGACTGTATGTTTAGCATTAAAATGGAGAGGTCACCTTGTGTTTATCCTGATACCATATTTTAACAAGACCACGCCATTGATATCCATTGACACCTTTTGGGACATTTTTTAATATATCGTTTAGAGTCCTCACATCAGGATTAAAGTATCTTCCCTTCAAACGGCTTTTGTAAGATCTCCACCCTTTATCAACTTTCATTAGAATCCAGTCTCTTGTAAGATGCTTCGTCTCAGAAGGGTACACAAATTTCATCTTTACCATGAATAACTAAAAGTTAGATCTGAAATAAGCATGATAATATTTGTTTACATTAATTAAAAATTCACCTCCGCGTCAGCGACTATGCTCTCCTTTGGTCCCACAAATAAGTCATGGTCCCATTTTGGAATGTCCAATGGTGCAAATGTTGAATTCTGTGCAAGCTTACCAAGATACGAGCCAAGAACAGAACCTGATCTATCATTTGGAATACCATGTTCATCTGTCTCCTCAATTACCTTTCCTTGCTTCAGTTGCTCCAAGCTTTTTACATTAAAATTTCCTAGAACCTGTCGTACCTCCCCATTTAGCCCTACATTTAGGAACATTTCAGCTATGGGTGATAGGAAAAATCATATATATAGATATATATAGGAAGAAAATATGAAACTTACAGATTATATTAATTAGTCTTTTGGCTGCAAGAGGCAACTCCGTGATTATGTCATCATTCTCTGAATGGTCTTGCTCACTATCTTCTGTGGGTTGTACATTCCCTGCATCTTGAGCTTCGAGATGCAAATTATCGTCATTGAATTGTGCATCTGCTTCATCTAGAGCTTCAAACTTGTACAACAAATTTTCTTCTTTGGCTTGCACATGTCCTGCGCTTTGTGCATCCAGGTTCAACTTCCGTAGACGTCTTGGCCCCCTCGCCATAATTGTTTACTGAAGTAAAACATGCATATAATGAAAGTTAATTAACTGCATAGGAAATTCAAAATGCATAACCTGAACATAGCAAACCAGATCTACGCTAGCTTTGCTTAGCCCTACCTAGTTAGATTATGCATAAAATATAATGAACTAAGATTGGAACAGTACGCTAGAGATGGTTGATTTCCGGGTGGTTAGTACTGTTTCGATCGACATAAGCATTGCCAAGTAGATGTGAAGAATGAACGAGTACGACCGCAATTCTCGAGTGGGTATAGACCTAGCCAATTAAGCTATATAGCAAAGGTGGTACCTCTGTACAGTGGTTCTATATTTAAGTCCTCGAGCAGGAGACAATCTTATGCCGAGCAGGGCAATTGTGATATTTACCGAGCAAGGGTAAATATATTGATTTTAGCTCATGAGCTGTGTGTGTGATTTTGTGAAACCCTGATTGCAATGACATGGTGTCATACAATCAGTCCACTCTAAAGACCCCGGGAATTTCAGAACTCCTCTCGCTATTGATAACGTACGTTCAGAGCGCATGGGACTACAATTCATGGAATAGGTACCACTGATGTTAGTAACCGAAAAGCTGGGCCATGACTAAGCTAATGTATATTGGCATGTCATAGAATGCGGGTAAAGCGTACATCTACTGTAGTATGAATATTCTTGAAACTATTCGAATAGTTGTGCTCACGGATATTGAGCATCGGGACTTACAATGGCATCTTGGTTAGAAACATAATTCCAGATTTTATTCAATGCTTCTGCATTGTAAACAATACATGTTTTCTACTCCTACATTCTCTGCTTTCTGCAAGTAAACCTAACCCTACTCAAATATTACTATTTCATGCATTCATGACTTAATATAATAGCTTGCCTTGCTTTAACCCCCTTCCAGAGTCAATTTGAAGTTCTTGCCGAAGCCAAGAGTTCAATCACATAATTAAGTTAGTTCCCTTCAACTTAGTTTCCAAGTCTAGCATAGTTAGATGGTTTAGTTCTATAGCAAAACATTAGAGTTGGGTCATCCTATAGCTTCTGTTGTATAGTTAGCCACAAGCTTGTAAATACCCTTATATTTTGTAATAATATCTCCTTTGGAGCCTTGTTCAAATGTATGCAATGAAGATCCAGATTGTTGAACCTGTATGAATCTACTGATCCAGGGCTTGATACAGTTAAAACATGTTGGTTACCGAATCTTTAGTTTTGGGACCCGACACAACAACATTAGTACTGTTCTTGGCGAGCCAAGCCCTGAAACCATCATAATCTCTTTGGGCATGGCCCTCTTTCTTGAAAAACTTGCAAAGGAACTTACCTACAGGATTTAGACTTGCTAAGACTTGAGCTTTGCCCTTCTAGGTACCATGAGAAACCAGAGAGGAATGAGGGTTGGACTTATTGTTCTTTGTGTTTCTAGACTCACCTTGTTGAACTTTCTCTTGCTGCCATTAGCATTATTGAGGAGGTTCGGCTGATCCTATTGTTTCAGTTCCATCAACATGAGAGACAATACCAACAACATTAGTACCATTCTTGACGAGCCAAGCCCTGAAACCTTCATAATCTCTCTGGGCATGGCCTTCTTTCTTGAAAAACTTGCATAGGAACTTACCAACAGGATTTAGACTTGCTAAGACTTGAGCTTTGCCCTTCTAGGTACCATGAGAAACCAAAGAGGAATGAGGGTGGGACTTTTTATTTTTCTTCGTGTTGCTAGACTCACCTTGATGAACTTTCTCTTGCCGCCATTAGCATCATTGAGGAGGTTCAGCTGGTCCTATTGTTTCAGTTTGTCAGCTTTCTAACGATCCTCCTCCTCAACATAATCACAAATGAGTTCTTCAACATACCATTTATCCTCCTAATTATTATAATTAATAATGAAAGACTCAAAATAAGAAGAAAGTAAACTCAAGATAAAATGGACTAGAAGAACATCATAAATTTCCATGTCCATATTTCTAAGCTCCCTATTCGTAGCACCCATATACATAATGTGCTTTGTCACACTATCTTTATAATTATAGCGCATGGAGGTTAGGTGATTAATTATAGAGCTAGCATAAGTCTTGGAAGAACTCCTGAAGTTCTTATTAACATTATGTAAGATTTATTTGATATCATTAGATTCCTCAATTTCAGCAAGAATGGCGGGGGAGATAGAGCTCTTAACGTAATTAGAGCGATCCTATTAGATTTCTCACATGCCTCTACTTTCTCATCATACTTCTTCTTTTTCTCATCATAATCATGCTAAATGCATGGTACAAGTCTTCTAAGGATGGTCCTCTCTAATGGCATAATTGTAATCAAGTATGCATAGTTTTAACAAAACATTAGCCTCCAACTTAGCATAATTTGTCTCGTTCAGACACTCAATGATTCTAAGTTGACCCAAAGCTAAAAAAATCATAAGTACATAATTTGCGTTGGCTCAATTATTAATTACATAATAAAAGGACAAATTTCCTTAATTACACCACCGTTGGGTAGAAATAATTAAGGAAAAATAATCATAAACGATTTACATGAATTTATAATCAGTGTGTGCTAGAAAATAAATCCACATCATGAAAATATATGATTTATTTTCTATGATGTGTTTTCTTGATGATAAGTAGTCATAACCAACACTGTAATGGCAAATTTTTAATCTGTCATAAATCTGGTGGCTTATCTATCATTATGATAAGCATTCATAAAATTTGTATTAAGTCAGCAATTTTAAGCAATTAAAATAGCTCTAAGGTTATTTCTGTAAATATGAAGTACTTAAAACAGCACGACAAAAATAAAACAACAAAATCAACCCGTTACTGTGCGGAGCGCATGTGCAGTAGCGACCCTGAAAGCCTGTGTGCTCTACCGGCCTGCTAGCAAGGCCTAACTGATGTAAGGTTGCAAGTGGGCTGCCCCGCGAATCCACTTATAGCACAAATAAATAGGTTTGCAGTTGACCCACTTGCACCCTTAGACTGTTGCAACCAAGTGGCCCAGGTTGGTCGTAGGACCAGTACAGCGGGAGCCACATGTGAGCTACGTGAGACATCCAATCTGATGGATGGCTTGGATTACTTCCGAATCAGTTGAATGCAACAACCGGGAAAACCCTAACCACAATCCTCATTTCTTCGATCACCTTTCTCCTCTCTTCTCATGGCTACAGCGATGGTGATTTCGCTGGTGCCGCGGCGTGCCAGCAACGCATGAGGCAACAATGACGGCATCCACGGACATGCTATATGTGGCAAATATAAAACTACCATTAATAGGGAAGTTGGATACAACTTTATAGGTAGCAAGGCTTATCTTCAATGCCGAGATTAAAGAAAAGCTCTATCTTACCAATACTAAGTCTTTGGGCAAAAGCTGTTCAAAAATAACACAGAAAAAATATCAAGTATCTAGGATTTTATGGATCTAACGGTGTGGATATGCATCCGCATTCCGCAATATTTTTCAGCATAGCATTTTGATTTTCATTTCCGCGGATAGAATCTCATTGGCTATCTTGCAGGTGTCACTACTACATAAACATCAATTGGTGCCGGCTAAAAAATCCTCATAGATGCCGGATTTTCCAACCGGCATCCCCACAGTCGGCACCTTTGAGGTAGACTCAAAGTACCAGGAATGCAAAACAAAAAAAAAGCCATCTCAATTCGAGCCGATGCATCTTGCAGCTCCTCATCCCACATCCACATATCACCATCCATCCATCCCACATCCATCCGCAGCACAAATCAAAGAAATTAAATCACAAATTTTGGCACGAATGAAGAATTCGATCACTCCAGAATCCATGACACAGATTATTTTCATGCATCAGAGGTAAAGCACAAGATAAACAAATAAGAAAAAAAAAATAAAGTCCATCCACACGCCGTGGAGTAACATGCACTCATCATCGTGGAGAAGTCCCTCCGCACGCTGGGCCATGCTGAAGGAGGGGCGCCGCCAGAGAGGGAGACATCAGATTCGGCCACTCCCAAGCGCTTGGTGGGGAGGGGCGGCTCTAGATTTGGCTGCCCTTGAGTGCCAGTTGGAATGGGGAGAGGAAAAGGGGTGGCGTCGGATCCGGACACTCCCGAGCGTTGGTGGGAAGGGGTGGAGAACTGGAAGGGCAGTGCCGGATCTTGCCGTTCCTTTGCGGCGGTGGGAAGGGGCGGAGAGGGGGAGGGGAGGCCTGCCACATGCCGTCATCACCCCCCCCCCCGGTGTGGACGTTGTCCAGTCACTGCCCAAGTCATCATCGATCAGGTTGCGCGCCTGCCCCACTTCGCCATCGCGTGGACGCGCCCCTGTTGCCTGCAGGTGCAGCGGCATCCGTGTTGGTGGCATTGGCTATGAGGGAGAGGAAGGGAGGGGCGGGGGAGGAGGAGGAGGAGGTTCGGCAGTTGTTTGGACAGAGGGGGCATAATGGACATAGGGTGAGAGAGAGAGATTTGGGGTGAAGAAAAGTATAAGAACGAATACTGCGAGAGAAGGGATCGAACTCCACTCCTCACCGTGAGGTGCATTTTTTAAAAACCCATCACTTTTAACTCTGTCCCACTAAGTACTACTTCAATGGGACATCCCTCAATGGTTCCAATTTTTAAAAAGGAACCGATATGTTTCTCTAAAAGGAGTCATAGGTGACGCTTCCTATTAAAAACCGACACCTATCTGTACATAAAGCTGCCGGTTCTATTGGTGTTGTTTTTTGCATATCCGACATCTACAGTGTTGTCCCTTTTGCATGTTTCTGTAGTAGTTTTTATTCTCTCTGGGTAGCTATTTAACATTTACGACAAGACTCGGTCAAACTTGAAACTCTAACCATCAATGTTATATTAGTTTAATAAGTTTGTCATACTAGTAAGAATATAATTCTGAGGCAAATCTACATACATCATTTTGTTTTATTTTTAAACTGAGCATTTAAGAAATTATTGATAGTTAAAATTTTAAAAGTTTAACCAAATATTATCACAAGGAGCATATGTTATTCTCTAATGAAGAGCTAGCTAGTGCCGTGAAACGAAACATTATTATATTCTTACTAGGTCTATCTTAACATGTGCTGCTGCTGCCAAATCCCTGTCACTTGTGTACTTGTGGTTCGATATGGATCTCAGTTATTTGGATATTACCATCGATCCCACATGGTCGCTAATGAGTCTAACCAAGGACAGTGATTCCCAATAATTTCTGCTCTCACATTCAGTTTCCCAAGACTTCTGTCGTGTAGAGTATATACTCCCTCCCTCCGTATCTCAAATAAAAGCCAACATAGTATTGAGAGGGCCGGCTCTTGGCCTAGACCGGTTGTGCGACCGTTCAGGGCCCAGAGTAGAAGGGGGCCATCACCAAACCCCGTCTATTTTGTCGTTTCGGTTATAACCAACTCTGTGCATGCTTCCATCCTTTTCCTGATTTCTGTTTTTTGAAAAACTTTCTATTTACAAATATAATTTCTATATATATTTTATATAGATAAAGTCTATCCATATATATAAACTTTATATGCATAAAATGTTTTAGCGGAAATAGTTAATATAGAAAATTTCCTATTAGAAAAAAACTATAATGGAAAAAAGAAAACCTGAAAAAAATGGTAATGGAAAAGAAAAACAGAAAAACGCTAATATCATGGGTTACGTGCAAGAAAACGGACGAGAAAAACAAAAAGAAAATGAAAACCGATAGGATGAATTAGACTTAATAAGAAAATAACGTACTAGAAAAAAAATAAAAAGAAAACGTGCATACGGTCTCCGTCTTCAACCGATTCGCGAGATAAGCTAGCCGCTAAGGTTCGCCAACCAGTCTTTCCTCCCCCTTCCCCCTTCCCCCTCCCCCCAACAACCGGGAGAATTTACTTTTTGCCATCCTCTCAAAATGCCAATACTCAAATGTCACTCTCCCAAAATTTCACTCCCAAATACCATCCGGACCCACATGTCAGTATCTTTTCCCATTCAAACAAAAGTGATGTGGGACCGGGTAATATGTGAGGCTGATATGTAGGGCCGGGTGATATTTTGGAATGAAATTTTGGGAGCACTAACATTTCGAGAGGATGGTAAAAAAAAAAATTCATCCCCCAAACAACCAGCCTAGCCACCAGGCTCTCAGGCCCAGTAGGCCGAGTGCACACCCAGGAGCCAATGAGGGAGGCGCAACGCTGTAACCGCGCGCGCAAGGCCAAGGCGAGGTCGCGACTCGCGAGGAGAGGGCGCACGGCGCACGAGCACCGATTACCGTAGCACGGACGGCCGACGCGACCACCGATTGATGCCGTCATCGCCGCGTTCGCATTAGGTGTATTACTATACATATATTCCCCGTCTCTCTGTGGCAAACCGAGGTTAGGGCATTAGGTATTTCTTGTTCTCGTTCTTGCCTTATTTATTCTAAGAAATTTAGGTTAGCAATTTATGAATCTAGATTTTTTTCCTTGCATGATTTTCCCACTCCAAAAATTAGGTTAGGATTTTCTTACTTGCATTACTTTCCCACTCTGAAAGTTAGGCTAGAATTTTTCATGGCTATTGTTGTATAATTTACTCTGTAATTTCACTATTTTAGGTGTTACAATATTACCTAAAAAACACATATATCGGGTGTTATAAAAAAAAGAAAGAAAACAATAAGACCAGTTAATTGATTAGCAAAAGGTACTATACATATATTCTTTTCAGCTCCAAATTACTTATATTGTATCTTGCAAATGGCTTGATTTATTATTTACCAGGTTAGAAATATTTATTTGTGTCACTATATAGTACTATATATGTACTTTATAGACTATATATTATAATTTAGAAAAAATAGCCTTATCTCGTTAGGGGCTTATAGTATACCAAGTTCGTCTAGGGCCATCGAAATTGTTGACACGGCCTTGAGTATTGAATGTAACATTTTCTAGTATAATAAATCTGGATAAACTTCTATTAAGATTCGTTGTATTAGAAAACGTCCTTTTCAATATTAGATTGGTTTATTGTAGTACGAAGGGAGCATCTTCTGAAAAGCAACGTACCTGAATGAGCGGTACTTGTTTGTTTCTTTTTTATCAGGTTGCTGGAGAGCATCCACATGGCGTAGGAGATGAAGACAAAAATGATTACTGACAACAACACTAGGGCTGAGTTCGTCTCCGTGGGTTGAGAATTCATTCCCTCCGCATCCATTAACACGTGATTAATTAAGTATTAGCTATTTTTTTTTTCAAAATGGATTAAATATGATTTTTGTAAGCAACTTTCGTGTAGAAACTTTTTAAAAAGTAATGCACCGTTTAGCAGTTTAAAAAGCGTATGCGCAGAACATGAGGGAGGGGTTGGGAACACTTAACAAAGGACACAGCCTAGGTCTAGCTGCATCACACCTTCTCCACCACAAGAAAAATAGTGATCTGCTCATAGTGATATATGTATGGTACAGATTGTGACGATAGAGGAGAATCCTTTCCTTCTTACATGGTACATCTTGTCACACCTGTTGCCGGGCACATGTTCTCCCTGTTGCAGCACCTACGTGTAGTTTAGCTGCATCTCTTCTTCCGGTTCTACGTACCCTTAGGCTGTAAAAAAATGGCCGGCGGCGACCAGCGCGGGGATTCGCCGTCGTCGCACGAGCTGAGCGGCCGGCTGGAAGGCATCCTAGCCGACGGTGAGGCGCCGTGGGCTCGTCGGGCTTGCAAGGCGGCCGCGTTGGAGGTCAGGCTGCTCGCGCCCATCGCGGCGCCGGCCATCGTGGTGTACGTGCCCAACAACGTGCTCTCCATCTCGACGCAGATCTTCTGCGGCCACCTCGGCAACCTCGAGCTCGCTGCTTCGTCGCTCGGCAACAATGGTATCCAGATCTTCGCCTACGGCCTCATGGTATGTATCCTTTGCCGGCCCATCGATCGACACCTCTCTGCTGTGTGCGTGTATGAGAGGTTCCGTAGCTTACTTTCCTCCTCTGTCTCATCGTCAACGACGTCGTCTCAACCATTTCTAACCATTACAATTATTAAAGGTATAAAGCAACAACCTCAGATACAAATCAAAACTCCCATATTCGCATTAGAGAGATTTCTACAGGTAAAGTCGACTTTTAAATATCGAACTTTGCAAGAAATTCATTTTTCACCCTAATTAAACTATAAAAGTCAGTTGTTGTTGTTTTTAAAACCAGACAAAGAGCATCCTAAACAATATTTTACGGTGGTTTTGATTGATATGTATAAACTTAAATTATTTAAGTTTCTTGGTTGTGGATCAAATTAAAAAACATTTACGTAAGTAAAATTTGCATAATAAGAGTATGAACCGGAAAACCACTTCTATTTCAAATAAAACGAATATACAAGGTTGCGAAGTGTTATCTGTCGGTTTAAAAGTTAGAGCAGAAAAAACAAGTTTTGTAGGTTAGGAAAAAATAAACTCGGAGTCAAGGGCAAAATAGACTTGACCCAGTTTTTATGTTTTAATCTAACTTATTAATAAGAGGCCATATGGTGACAGTAAAACATGTCGCATGTGGTGTCCCATATGAATAGTTATTTCATACGATACGTACCTTGTTACATGATCTTTAACATTATGACTAGAAAAATACCCGTACGTTGCAATGAGTGAAGGCTATTTAGTCTTATTACTATTGTTATATAGTTTAGTTAGGGTGAAAATAATTGTGGGAATTCCCTTGGATTTTTTTTTTAGAAAATCATGAGTTGTAATTAAGAGTTCGATTTTTATCTCAAGTTAGCATGTGAGTTTTTTTTAAAAAATTTTCAAAAGCGTTCCAAGTTAGCATGCGAGTTTCTCTAAAAAGATTTCTTATAAGACGTCTTTTTATTTCCAAAGGCGAACGAACTTAAAAACAAACTCAAACACAGATATATATTTTCAAAAGCAAACGAACTTAAAAACCGACTCAAATACGAATGACTTACCAAAGTATCGGCAAAAACATCTTCAATTTTTATAATAGTAGAGATACGATGTTTACATTTTTTTTTCGTGTGTTGGGTGCACAAAACTCTGATTCTGATATCCGAAAAACCAGACACAGATACAGGATTTTTTAGGTGGGTATTCATAACATAAATTGGAAAAAAATTTAGTGGTGCTAGTAACAAACACTACTACATAAACACTTTTTTTCATGTGGTCAACACGTATTTTTGTAGGCGGGTGCTCTGCCCGCCTACCCTAAGTGTCTACGCAAACCGGAACTTTTTTCATTCGGGCAGTGCACTCGCATGCCAAAAATGATTTTTCGCGGCTGATCGGTTAAGCCGACCGTATGCGAAAAGAAAAAAATCGCTAAAAAAATATAAATTCCTAAGATAAAAAAGCTAGCCAGATTCGCCATTATCCGGTCACCGCACCACGAAACCCGTCACCACCATCCAAAATCCGCTAGGTCCACTCGGGCCAGGGCCCCGCTGCCGCCACCATGGTCGCTGCAAGCAAACTATGGTCGTAGATGTCATCGCCATCGCCACTTGATCCAAAGCAGCATGGGTTGTGGCCTACTGATCCACCGCCACCCATTGCCGCCACTGTTGGATCCGCCCCGGCTGGATCCACGTACGGCTGACAGATCCAATGTCTCTTGCCACTTCTGGATCCACCTCGGGCAAGCCCGCGTTCGACGAATCTAGTCCGTCGTCATGGTCACCCTCTGCCCCGCCTCTCCCCACTCCTTCGGCGACAGTGGCGGATCCGAAGCTTGTCAGCTTCTTTGCTCCCACACATGTGCCTGCCATCTGTTAGGAGAGAAGTCAAGGAAGAGAAGAAGGAGAGGCGGCGGGACCTGCGTAGTCTGAGGCTGAGTTTGCCACCGCCCGAGCAGAAGAGGTCGGACTAGATCCAGGAGGAAGAGAGAGGAGCAGAAGTGGGAGATGACAGGAGAAGTATGAGAAGTGGGAGAGGAGGGAGAAAAATGAGTGGAGAGAGAGGAGGTTGTGGAAAAAAAGAGTGGAAAGAGAGAGGAGAGAAAAAGAGCAGGGCACGAAGGGCATGCGGTGGAGAAAACCCTGTCTACGAAAATGAGTTTTCGGAAGTGGGGCTTAATCAAATAGCATCCAAATCTTTTTTGCATGTGGGCGTTTTTTTAGTCCACCTATAACAAAATAAGGGGGTGCAATCGCAAATTTTCTTTTTTAGTGAAAGATATTGAAAGCTACGTTGAAAATAAAAGGAAGAGACGAAAATCAGTTGAGAAACATGTCCAACGTTGGGATCATGTACTTTAGTGTGAGAGCCAACAGATCAAAACACATTTAATTATTGAGTGTACTCCATTCACTACTGTATGAAAATAATATTTGGGCATTCCCTATTTCCTTTGGATATATAGCCATATTGATCGTTGGTTCGTCCACCCCTCCGAACAACTGATGACCTACCATGGGACTAACAATAAGATGAAAAATCGAAACTACAGGATCCATTGATGATTGGAGTTTGGTATTGATGTGATTGTAAAGTATAGTGCATGCATGACGAGGTCAAGCAGATAGGTCATTTACACCGAGACAAAAGCATTGTGTCACCAAAACCGACTAGATGTGCGTGTGTTTTCTTGGGATACGGATGCATGAAAGGAACTTCAATCAAACTATGACTGCATTAGGTGGATCAGTGGATGACAAGTTGCCAATTATATGCTGAAAAGCCAGTAGCATATTTGGAGACATCTCATCCAAGTTTAGCAGGAGATCGATGCGTTGTTCGTTGCAATTAGATTTCACTTTATAAGTGAAGCTGGTGTCAGTACATGAATTAATGCAGAGGCTGCTTGCAACAAAAGACCATCACATTGCAAGTTTTTTCCAACTCAGTGGATGTGGAAAAAATAGCACTATTCGATCACTTAACAATTTGCACTACTAGCTGCTAATAGCTGCTTCATGTGTTCGGGGAGAATTCTGAATTCAAACAATTACACTCATTCGTATGGTCTAGTTTAAATTTTAATATTTTGCTCACATTTTGAATTATTGCACAATTATTGGATATTATGCGATACCTTGTTAGTATTATCAATAAAAATATACAGAATATGGCTCCTTATCTCTCTGTTTGTCATTCATATTTTTTTCTCCTTTTGTCTGACTTTCCGGTTGCTCTATTTGTTTTTATCTTTTCTCTTTGTTCTTTATCTCTTTTCTGCCGGAAAGATATAGAACACCCTCTTTTGATTGGATTGGTGAGATTCATTTCTCTGATTTTGTTTGCTTGTTAATCTAACAGCCATTATTATGATGTGGCTCATTCTCGTTTAATGTTAGGATTGGCTTTTCAATTGTTATGATTTTCAGACATTTTCTTATGGTTTTCGGTTTTTTTTTCCCGGAGCTTCAACCTTTTTGTAGTTTTCCTCCTCTTCCTAATATGCTTTTTTTAATTCTAATAATCATTTTTTCTCCCTTTTTCCAACTTTTCATGGGTACTATTTTCTTGACATATTCCCATATTTTATATTTATTTTCATGACCACATGAGTTGTGAGTAGGCCTTGAGCCCGGTGAGGTGGGTAACGAGAGCTAAAGAGATTGGAATAAGTACATTTTGACTCCTTTAACTGGTGACTTAAATCTGATTCATATCACTCAACCGCAAAACCAGACATGACGACTCCCCAAACAATTAAAATGTCTAAACTGACTCCCTCGGCGGTTTTGGAGGGGGGTTTCGCTGACATGGCATTCACGTGACAGTCCAGTCATCAATAAATTAAAAAAATAATGTGGGGCTCACTTGTCATGCGAACAATGGTGAGCTCTCACGCCCGCTCACTTGGTCGAGGCCGACCTCGACGCTATTCGCCTCCACGCCACGCACAAGCACATGCGTCGCGCCTCCTGCCTCGACGTGGACTCCCCACACGCCTCGCTTCTCCTCCGCAAAGGAAGCCTCCCACCATGCCACCCTCCTCCCACCCGACTCCACCCACTCCCACTCCTAGGGCTCGCCCCCCTCCCCCTCAGCCACCGCTACAAATCCCTCTCCAAATCCCTCCACTCTAGCCCAGCCTCATTTTCCCCTGCCATCTCCTCCGCCATCAAGGAGGCACTCTGGCGCGCCACCAACGCGTATGCCACGCTCGCCGAGCAAGCCACCGCCCCCATCCTGCGCACCTTCTAGATGCCCTATGCTGGCAGCCGCCTCCTTAATGAATTTTTGCTGATTCTGGCCTACGTCGAATTCCACATCATGTGCCCCTCCTACCGTTGCACCTTACATGCCTCTGAAGTGTCCCCTCCACCGGAGGCTACGGCAGAGATGGAGGCAAACTCGCCGCCAGCTAAGAAGAAACCCACCTCAAGGACACATCGCCGCCTCGACTGCGGTCAGCACATAATTTGTGCCCTAGCCATGGTCACGCCCACGTTCTCACTTCTATATCTCTTCTCCCGTCCGTCCTCCCTCCTCCCGCGCCACACCGTCGGCTCGCCACCCACTGCCACGCCGCATCCCCGCTCAGCCGGCCACTCCGCCGCTAGCACCAGCACGGAAGGGGTTGGGATGGGAGTGAGAGGAGAGCCCCACCAACGCCTCCGCCGCACCCCGTCGTCATCACGGCACCCTGCTCCGCTGTCCTGCTGCATTTACATTGATAAGAAAGGGGAGAGAGTTTGGTATAGAGTAGGGATGACAAGTGGGTCCCACTTGTTTTATTAATTTATTTGATGACCGGGCTGCCATGTGGACGCCATGTTAGCGAAATCGCCATCCAAAACCGTCGAGGAAGTCAGTTTAGACGGTTTTAATAGTTTGGGGAGTCATCATATTTGGTTTTGCGGTTGAGAGATACGAATTAGATTCAACTACTAGTTAAGGGAGTCATAGTGAACTTAATCTAAAGATATTTCAGCATTTTGGGGCCTAGAATTCAAGGGCTGAATGATACAACGTGGCACTTTCCGTGTTACAGCCCAATACACTGTTGTAAGGTTTCGACGCCTGGACGAAAAGCCGAGCAACACCAAAAAGCACTTGCGCCCTTGTTTTGTACCACCTCCATATTTTAATGTATGGCGCCGTTGACTTTTTGTCCAACATTTGACCATTTGTCTTATTCAAAAAAAGTTATTTAATTATCATTTATTTTATTATGACTTGATTCGTCATCAAATGTTCTTTAAGCATGACATAAATATTTTCATATTTGTACAAAAATTTTGATTAAAACGAATAGTCAAACGTTGGTCAAAAAGTCAACGGCGTCATACATTAAAATACGGAGGGAGTGTTGTGATACGCATAGGCTACGATAGCATAAATCAAAATTTTCTATCGCGTAAACCAGGAACCATGCAAGTATTAGATCATAGATCATTACCACTCGACGCGCTGTGCAGCGGAAGAAGACACTTAGAAGTCGAAGGAACTCTCGCGAAGTAGCACGCGTCGATGTAGAGGAAGTAGTCGATCGCACCGGCTCGACCTTCTCCTCCTCGTGCGTTCTCCTCGCTGTACTGCCACGCCGATCAGCACTGCAAACCAGCGGCGCCTCTACCGGTATCCACACGTACAGGGATGGAACGCCACGCGCAGATGTGTTAGCACCCGCGCGCGGCTAGGGTTTTGCTCGGGGAGGGAAGTGACGGCTAGGGTTTCTCACGTGATGCAATACCTCCGCCGGTCACACCCCTCACGAATATATAGGATCCATCACTCGGGCCTCCAAGGCCCGTAGGACTCCTATTCAGATCCCGATCCAAAGTAAGCTCATATTGGATCTCCATCCAATCGCCTTATTTCGGCCCATTAAGCGTGCAACCCTGTAGGTTCATATATACTCGGCTGTAACCCGAAAACTCCTTTTCGGTCCACGCGTCAATAGCGGCCTCTAGCAGAACGTATTGACCCACCGGGCATACATAAAGATCATATCAGATGAACCACTAGTTTATACTTGTATGAACCCCTTTGCATCACGATATCGATTAAGCTCAAGGCTAGATATGTGCCATCCTCTAATAGCTCAATCATTCACTCGAACCTGTTGATAGATTATATAACTTGTGATTGACTCCTCAATCACCTTTGGCATGGCCATGCACTTCCATAATCTACAACATCGAGGATGTCAACGGGGGATACCCGTAGACCGGATATAGAGGGTATTGGGGTACGCTGGTACGAGGATCTACGTAATACGACATCGAGCTAGCAAAAAAAGAGATTATACTAGTTCAGGACCCTTGATAGGTAATAGCCCTAATCCAGTTGATATGGGATTATACGATGGAAACCACAAATTACAAAGGGAATAGTGGAACTCGACGATACCGACGAGATCGTAGTCGAGTTGATTCGACTAGATCACCCGGCGACTTGGCTCCTGTAGGCTCCGGCTTCGTAGGCTGTGGTGGATGTGTTGGCGGTAAGGTTTTCTGCCTTAGGTCCTCCCGGGGGGTCCCTTTTATACCGCAGGTCAGCTAGTCTCCAAGTAGGACTCGGAGACATCAGACTCGGTACAATACAATGACGACCCAGTTCTATCCGAGTAGGACTCTTTCCATCTGTAGACTCCATGATGGACTTCCTTAACTTATGCTGAGAACGTTCGTATACGCGCAAGCATACCATATCGATATGTGACGTATATCGAAGGGTAGAGGGTATACCTTACCCCCGTAACCCTGACAGTAGCCCCCGACTTTTGCTTAAATGAACTCGTGAGACCGATCGCGACTTCTGATGTTGTCGTCGTTCTCGATGTGAAGACCGAGGGAGAAGGAGTGATCGACAATGTCGGGTGAAGCTCAACGGTCATGAGTGAATTTAAACTGAAGTCCGAAAAACTGTCGCGCGTAACGGACCCCAAAATTTCCGGCGGCCATCTCTCTCCTTTCCTTGGAATTCGCACTGTCGGAAGTATGTCTATTTAAGGGAGTTTTGGGGATCCCATTTGAAGTCTGCCTGTTGAAAACTTTCTCTAGCTTCCAAGCGTCCCTCGTCTTCTTCGCTCCCGCAAAAAACCCTAGCTAGCTCATCTCTATCCTTTCTCCAGCGATCCCCGGCGGTGATGGATCTCGACAAGTCAACCCCCACCAGTGCGTCACTAAAGGAACTGCAGGAGGATGGCGCCCTTCCCGGTCACGGGACCGCGGAGAGAGAAGTAGGAGGTACTGAACCCCAGCCTGTCCTGGGTCGCATAGTTGCGATCGAGGACTTTATTCTCTGTGGTTTTCTTCCTCCGCCTTCTGAATTTCTTCTCTTGGTCTTTAATTTCTATGGTCTTTCCTTGCTCCATTTGAACCCCAATTCCATCGCCTTCCTGAGTATCTTTTCGCATCTTTGTGAGGCCTACATTAGGGTAGAGCCGTTTCTTGACCTTTTCCGCTTTTACTATGAGTTGCGCTGGATGGAACCCAAAAAGGTGTCCGGGTGTGTTGGTTTCTGACTTCGGGATGGCCTGAAGTCGCGATACATCCCCTTCCAGTGCCCCTCATCTCGCAGCAAATGGCGGGGGAGGTGGTTCTATCTTCAGATAGAGGATTCGGATCCAGTCTTTGTTGTTCCTGAGGAGCAACAAGACAAGATTCCATCCTGGACCACCAAACCCGCCTTGACCCCATCCCTCCAATCTTTCATTGATATCATTGATGACCTCCGAGAACGGGGGTTGTCGGGGTATGAAGTCGCTGCTGACTTCATTGGTAGGCGGATCCAGCAGCTTCAGGCTCGAGCCCATCCAGCCTTTGATTATTCTGGGCCGGAGGACGCAACCCGGGTTTCTCCTCGGGGTATTTTCCTTTTTAGTTAAATTGACTCCCTTATACACGTGTTCTTCCCGACTTAACAGATTCTGGTCTCGATCTACAGGCTTGGACATCGCAACCGTGGAGCGCCGCGTTGGCCAACTGATAATCAGTGGCTCGACAACAGCGAGCAACGTCCCCGTCCCCCTTTGCGAGAAAGGGGCAGCCGAGCGCGATGCTGCCATCAATGTAAGTGTACTCAGTGGTCATTTTGCATTTTTCTTCCGGGATCACATTATGACTTCATGAAGCGTAGGCTCTCCCTCTGACTGATATCATCGGGCCGCTTGTGGACCATCAGGTGGTGGCGTCGCTGAAGGAGAAAGTCGCCCAGGAGGCATCTGACGCTGCTGCTGCCGCTGCCACAACGAGCGGCGGCAACGTTGCGAAAAAGGGGAGAAATTCTCCTCTGTGGTCAGACATCGTCGGAAGAAACCCACCCCCTCGGTAAGTTCTCCTGTTCTTTCATTATGTAGTCGGAAAACTTGCACCTCACATCGCATCGGTTGTACTCCAGGCCTCGGACGCGTCTCCCCCGCCTCCACGACGGCAGCGGCTAGTGAAGCTTGGCGAGAAGTAAGTGGATGATTTTGAGATCTTGTCACTTCGTCAAACTGTTGCAGCCTGTCTCAGTTGCAACTTTTCGCAGGGCGGCGCGGGCGAAGGCGGAGCAAGACGGGTCTGGAGGGACCTCCAGCGCGTCTCCTGCCGTGGCCTCGACGGATGTCGTGGTCGCGCCCAGAAGCTGCGAGGCGACACCTAGCGGCCTAGCCAGCGATCTTGCAGCTGGTCGGGGTCCGCCAGCTGCCGTTCTCACCTGGGAGGAGCTCCAGGTCGAGATGGGGCGCCTCCCCAAGGCTGGTGCTCGCGGCATTGGTCGCGAGATTGCGGAGGCAAGGGCGGCGGCAGCGTCGTCGGCGAAAAGCGCGCCGACCGGCTGGCGCGCGACTTAGCGGAGGTTCGCGAGGACCTCCAGAAGATGCGGGAGCTGGTGGCTGGCAATGAGTGACAACGGCAGGGGCTCGAGCACCGTATGTCGGAGCTCAAGAACCACTTGTCGGAGATCCGCGGCTCCCTGCGAGTCACCTACACCGGCCTGCACCAGCTCGCTGGGGAGTGCGGCGTCAAGGCCACCATCCCGGCGAACCCCGATGAGTTCTTGTTGACGTCTTCACTTGCGGAACTGGCGGCGGCGATGGAGGCGATCCCCTCCAAGCACGCGGCCAGGGTCGGAGAGGAGACGTCCAACGGGATCTATATCGGGGCGTGCCATGTCCTTGCGTGTGTGAGGCTGGCGCATCCTGAACTCGATCTGCGGAAGATCTTGGATCAGGGGGCAGCCAGCGATGTGCGCAAGGATGTGAAGGATTAGGTCGGCGACCTGGGGGAGTCCGTCCTCCCTCTTTTTGAAGAGTAGGGTCTTAGCTCTCTTGTACTTTTTGGCCATGCTTTGTAAAACTTTTATTGGTTCCGACCGCCTTTGTGTGTGTAGTCATCGCCTTAGCATTTTCAGCATTTTGATCTTGAGTACTTTGTTGTCGTTTGTAGAGATGTTGATGTCGAGGATGTCTAGCAGCGCGGGCAGCCTGAGTTGCCGGTGGTCATTCCGTGACTTGCGTTCGAGCCACATGTGCCGGAGGGCGATGTAGCTCAAAATTCGCCCATCGAAATGAGCATGACAGCGACTCCCTTAGGTTGGTTGTCTTTGCTACATTTCCTCTATGCTTTCGTCTGGGTCGACTTGATTTGTTGTATTCTCGGAAGAGAAGAGCAACTTAACTTAATCGTTTCCATGCTGCGTAGACCTCGAGAGCGCGCTCGCTGACCAGGATCGTCGCATCCATTATTGGAGGACGAAGTTTGAGGTCGCGGAACTCGAGAGGACTATGCTGGAAGTGAAGAAGGACCAGGCTGTAGAGACACTCCGGGGTCGTGAGGTGTGGTTCAACTCGTATCTGAAGAGTTGCTGCACGTCCATGTCCAGAGTATGTAGAGAGCTCCGAGTACCTCGTGGGGATCCCGAGGAATCGGCGGCCGGATATATCTCGTGGCTGAACGGCGCCTGCACCCAGCTCGAAGGCATCGGTCAACGCATCGACGAAGCCTTGAAGCAGCAGTGTCGTCGGTCGAGCCGATATGCCGGGGGGCATGTGTTGGCTTGTATACGAGATCATCGTCCACAGCTGCACCTCGAGTTCCTCCACGAAAGGTTTTCTCGTTCTCGGAGAACTCCTGTGGAGATAGATGGCCTAGCGAAGTCGATGGCGCCACTAGCGGAGAAGGTCTTACAGTCGATCCCTTCCTGGTAGTCTCCGTGTCCTGTGACAAATGTCTTAGGGAAATAGCGTAATATACTTTTGGATTTTGATTGAATTGTAAGAAGGTCTTGTGAAATAGAAAAGAAATCTATCTAACTATGCTTTCTTACTTTGGATGTAGCGTGTATAAGTGTCTTCTCACTTCGCGACTTCGATCAGTCATTTGAGGTATACACTCTCCCTAGCCCCCAGCCTTATCATCGGAGAATTCTTCTCGGAAGATAAGGCTCTTGGACCTTTGACCTGTCTCGGTTGAACAAGCACTAATCCTAGCCCCTAGCCGTGAAATTGGAAATTTTATTTCCGATTACACGGCTTGGTTAATACGCACGGCGAGAACTCTTACACGACCAGATCTTACATGGTCTTTCGTCTCTATAGGATCCAACAAGGCCTTATCGGCTCTGGGCGTCCCCAGCCGAAGTTCCCTTAGGTTCCTCGAACGCCTTGTTAAGACGGCATAAAGGGACATTAGGATAGGTTTCAACGCTAGGTGTCATCTCGGTAAGGGATCATCAGGAAGGAACGCTTTGATTGTGGTCTGGACCTGAAAATAGGCTTTATTGAAGTTGTAAGATGTCTTACAAGTATGGATACTATTGACTTATACATAGAATTTACGTAATTGATCAATGTTCCAGGAATTTGTCAACTCGCGACCATCGCCGTCTGCAATTTTGAATGCGCCTTGCCGCAGAACTTGTGTGATCGTGTACGGTCCTTCCCATTTGGGTGAGAGCTTGTTTTGCCCTGCTTGGCTTTGAACCCGTCGGAGGACGTAGTCGCCGATCGAAAGCGTGCGTGCTCGGATGCACTTCTCGTGGTAACGGCGAAGGGCCTGTTGGTAGCTGGCTGCTCGAACGGCAACTCATTCACGATGTTCCTCGAGTAGATTTACATCGTCGTTACGGTGCTCCTCTTGATCCTCATCGGAATACTTCTGTACTTGTGTACTTTGATGTCGTAGCTCGGTGGGGAGCATGGCTTCTGAGCCGTACACGAGGAAGAAGGGTGTCTCCTTGTTGGACGTTGTCGTGTGACATGAGCCTGTCGTAGACGCGAGTTTTAATTCCTTGTAGTACTATGCTGTTTGCCCTCTCGACTTGTCCATTGCTCTGAGGGTGAGAGACTGAGGCGAAGCAGATCTTGACTCCCAGCCTGATGCAGTAATCCTGGAAATATGCACTGATGAACTAGGAGCCGTTGTCCGTTATGATACGGTGGGGCAATCCGAATCTGCAGAATATCCCTTTGATGAATTTGATAGCGTTGTCAGCCTTGATTTCCCCCGTGGGTGTCGCTTCAATCCACTTAGTGAATTTGTCGATCGCTACGAATAGGAACCTGTAACCGCCCTGTCCTCGTGGGAATGGCCCGAGTATATCTAGCCCCCAGCACGAGAACGGCCAAGTGAGAGGGATAGTCTGGAGTGCTTGCGCTTGTAACCTTATGTGTTTACTGTGAAATTGACAGGCTTCACACCGCTGGACCATGTCGCAGGCATCTTTGAGGGCGGTTGGCCAGAAGAACCCTTGTCGAAAAGCTTTTCTGACTAATGTGCAACCGGCGGCGTGTGACCCACAGATCCCTTCATGTATGTCGAGGAGGAGGTGTCTGCCGTCGTCGGACGAGACGCATTTTAAGAGTACCCCGTTTGGTGCCTTCTTGTATAGATCGTTGCCGATCATACAGTAGACTTTTGCTTTACGGGATATTTTCTCAGCTTCTGCGTCATCCTCGGGCAACTCTTCGCTGCCTATGAATTTAATGAGTGGGGTGCGCCAGCCATTTGAGGTCTCGATGTCGGCAACGGCGCGTTCTGCCTCTGTAGCCCCCGAGCTGATGTTGGGGGCGACCGGGCTATCTTCGTCGCTTGCCTCTGTCATAGATGGTCTGGTCAGGACGTCCAGAAGGGTACCCGGTTCAAGTGGCTCTCGTCTGGATGCATGCCGTGCTAGATCGTCCGGTTCGATGTTGTCTTTGCGGTATACATGTCGGACCTCGATCCCATCGAACCTTTTTTACATCATCCTGACTTCTGCGAGATACTTGGATAACTCGGGGCTAAAGCACTTGTAATCTTTATGCACCTGGTTCGCGATTAGTTCGGAATCCCCTTTCACGATTAGTCGCCTAACTCCAAGTGCAGCTGCAGCTCTTATCCCGGCGAGTAGTCCTTCGTACTCGGCTGTGTTATTGGTCGCCCTGAAGTTGAGGTGAATTGCATGCTTGAATTGATCTCCCGAAGGTGATGTCAAGATGAATCCTGCCCCTGCTCCTTGGCTGTTGAGCGCGTCGTCGAATGCCATTGTCCACGTTTCTTTGTCGACTTGGTTGTTTGACCTGTTATCAGGTATAGTCCAATCGGCTACGAAATCGGCAAGTACCTGGGACATGATGGCTGTTCGTGGCACAAAGCGGACATCAAATTGGCTTAGCTCGACTATCCATTTCGCGATGCAGCCGACAACGTCTTTGTTTCTCACTACTTCACCGAGAGGGATGAAGGATACAACTGTGACCCTGTGGGCTTGGAAGTAGTGGCGTAGCTTTCTTAATGTCATGATTACCGCGTAAAGCAGTTTTTGGATCTGTGGATATCTCGTCTTTGCGTCGTGGAGAGCTTCGCTGACGTAGTAGACTGGTCGTTGCACCTTCTCTCTCTCGACAACAATGACAGTGCTAACGGAATATGGCGTGGCGGCAATATAGAGAAATAATTCTTCATTAGGTTGGGGGGCAACAAGTATAGGAGGATTTGATAGGTAGCGCTTGAGTGCAATGAATGCCTCTTCGGCTTCCTGTGTCCATACAAATTTGTCCTGCTTCTTTAGCAAGGCGAAGAAAGGTTGTCCTCGCTCTCCCATCCTAGCGACGAACCTGTTTAGTGCCACCACGCATCCGGTTAACTTCTGTACTTCCTTGAGTCTTGTAGGCGACTTCATGTTCTCGATTGCCTTGATCTTCTCGGGATTTGCTTCTATTCCTCTTTCAGAGACGAGGAAACTGAGCAGCTTGCCCGATGGTACTCCAAATGTGCACTTCTCTGGATTGAGCATGAGGCGATATCGTCGGAGGTTGTCGAACGTTTCCCTCAGATCGTCAATCAATGAGTTGCTTGTCTTTGTCTTGACAACAATGTCATTGACGTAGGCCTCGACATTGTTTCCTAATTGGTTGCTAAGTGCACCTTGGACCGTGCGCTGGAAAGTGTTTCCTGCAGTTATTAGTCTGAACGGCATCTTAACGTAGCAGCATACCCCGAACGGCGTGATGAATGCTGTCTTCTCCTCATCCTCTTTCGCCATGCTGATTTGGTGGTAGCCGGAGTAAGCGTCAAGAAAGCTTAACAACTCACAACCGGCTGTTGATTCCACCAGTTGGTCTATTCGAGGAAGAGGGAAATGATCCTTGGGACACGCCTTGTTGAGGTCGGTGAAATCGATGCACATTCTCCATTTCCCGTTGGCCTTCCGCACCATGACTGGGTTGGCTAGCCACTCTGGATGGAGTACCTCTCTGATGAAACCGGCTTTGGGAAGCTTGTCGAGTTCTTCTCGTATGGCTTGTTTTCGATCTGGTGCAAATCTCCGCAGTTTTTGCTTTACTGGCTTGGCATCGGGTCGCACCATGAGTTTGTGCTCAATCACCTCCTTGGGTACCCCCAGCATGTCGGACGGCTGCCAAGCGAACACGTCAGCATTGTCGCGGAGGAAAGTGATGAGCGCGAGTTCCTATTTCTCGCCTAGTGATGCCCCGATCTTGACGGTCTTGTCGGGGTTGGCATTGGAGAGTGGAACGATCTTGATTGCACCGTCCGGTTTCGGCGTCTTGTTTGTTTTGCTCACTTTCTTGGGTGGCTCAGCTATTGCGGGTGGGCTGAGCGTGTGCTTGACCATGTCGAGGCTCCGCTTGTCGCATTGCACTGTCAGCTTAGCATTCCCTTGAATAGTGATTGTTCCCTTCGGTCCCAGCATCTTAAGCATTTGATACGTGTAGTGAGATGCGGCCTTGAACTTCGCGAGTGCAGTTCTCCCAATGATGGCATTGTATGCTATAACGAATTCAGCGACATCAAAGGTGATCTGTTCCGTTCGAAAGTTATTTGCTTGGCGGAAAGTCACAGGCAACGTAATTTTGCCCAATGGTTTGGACGATGACAGAGGAGTGATTCCATGGAAGGGTTGATCGGTGGGTGTCAACTCGCTTCGTGGGATCCCCATCGCGTCCAAGGCGCTGGCAAAGAGAAGGTTCATTGAGCTGCCGCCGTCGATCAGAACTCGTGCGACGTTGATATTCCGAATAGTGGGTTCGACCACGATCGGATATCGCCCTGGGATGACAGCAGTCTTCTTCCGAGAATTCTATCTTCTGTTCAGACCACTTCATCTTGGGCGTAGCCCCCTGCCACATCGAACAGACCTCACGTTCCACCTTCTTGTATTCTCGCTTTGAGGAGTATGCCGTGGAACCTCCGAAGATGTGCGAGACATGGAGATCGGAGTCTGGATATGCCGAGTCTGATTCCTGAGTAACTGCCTCAGCGTCCTTCTCAACCACACGTATTCGCTTGCCTTTTTCCAATGCCATGTGTTTTGCGAGCGACTTTTTGAAAACGAGGCAATCTTCTAGAGAGTGTCTGTCTGACTTGTGTATAAGGCACCATATTTTCTTCACGTCGCTGCCTTGTGGGTCTGGGCGCTTGGGGGGGGGGTCCGCGTATTCTGTTGCGAGAACTTTTGCTTGAGCTTTCCTTTTCCCACTTTTGCGATTCTTCTTCTTGCTTGATTTAGGTGCGTCCTTGGCTGGTTTCTTCTCTCCTCCGGTCTTCGGTTTGTCATTCTTGCGTCTCACTGCGTCGTCCGCATGAGCGCATCGATCGACAATTTCGAACAATCTCCGAGTAGTTGTGACGCGCCTCGTTGCCAACTCCTGAGTAGTATAGCGATCTCTGACACCGGACTTGAAGGCGCAAATTACAGAAGCATCGGTGATTTCAGGGATTGTATTTCTGCACTCGTTAAAGCGCCGAACATAATCCCTCAAGGATTCACCTGGGTTCTGTGTCGACGCATGTAGGTCATCTTCGATCGCGTGGCGCTTGTAAGTTCCTTGGAAGTTGGCGACGAACTGCTGCCACAGGTCTGCCCACAAAGAAATCGAGTACGGGGGCAGATGCATCAGCCATGAACGTGCAGAGCCTTTCAATGCCGTTGGCAAGTAATTTGCCAATGCGTTGTCGTCCGCTCCGGCAGCATAGAGTACCGTGGAGTAAACCTGAAGGAATTCTTCTGGGTCGGTGCTCCCATCGTATTTCTCTATTGCTCCAGACCGGAATCTTTTAGGCCATCGGACATCTCGAAGTGAACGACCGAAAGCTCTACACCTAGCGCTGGGGGCGGTGGGTTGTCGGCGATTGTACGCCCTTCGCGGATGTCTATCGGATGATGAGGATAAGGAAGATGATGACGATGACGATGGGTCACTTGGTTCCAGCATGTGGTTATGAGGGCGTCGGCCGGGTTCTCGAGAACCTTGTCGTCGTCGCCCATTGTTGTCTCGGCGCCGATCTCCATCATCATCGTCATCATGGCGACGTCCTCGACCCGTATCGCCCGGCACCCATCGTTCACGATCGTTGTGATTGCGGCGGTTGTGGCGGTTATTATGGTCTCGATCTTCACTCGAACGGCCTACTCGATCTTCGTTATCGTGACGTCGTGAAGAGATACGATGACGAGAACGGTTCTTGTTGTCGCGTGTGCGTCGCGCCTCTCGGCGGCCATTCAGGTGATCGCGGAGATCGCCGGTGCCGCGAGGTGGAGGGGTGGCTCGATGAGGCGATTCCGGCTATTCAGGGTTTCCACCATTAGCATCGCCAGTTGGTGGCTGTTCTGGGTGTGCTGCAGCAGCGGCCTCTTCAAACGCGTTGCTGAGGTTGGTCACCGATTCCCGTAACCGCTCTGTCCATCACGCGAGATCGTCGTTCAGAACGGGATCATAGGGGGTTTCCCTCAGTATTGCGTTGATGGCTCTGTTGTGCTGGGCCGGTGTAGTCACTTGATTCTCTGCTTCCGCATTGGCGTGCGCTGACGTGCCGACATCGTCGATAGCCAATACCTCGCGCGGCGTACTCGTTGTCGATGAACCATAGTCTTCGAGCAGGTGCAAGACTGATGGTTCGTGGAGATCGATGTCGATTACCCCAACAAATCGATCTGAAATCGGCGTCGCTCCTTGTTCCTTGTCCTCATCCCTGAGGGGGACGCGTGACTGCTAGACCTTAGGAGGTGGCGTCTTCATGGCGCTGAGAAAGACCTTGCAGCTCGAGAGGTCGTGATTCTTTGTCTTGTGAATAGGACAATAGACATCACGAGTTGGAGAAGTACGCTGAATTCCACGCTCTTTGTAGGCACGAATTTCAGCATGGACGTTGAGAAAAACCCAGCAGGCTTGCAAGGTGTGTTTTCTGGTTTTGTGGATAGAAAACCAGGACCTTGTCACCTCGGAAGTCATCCTCGTCGGCTCGTGATTCTTGTCGGAAAGACAAGACTTGGCCTCACTAGGATCCTTCTCGGGCTCGGATGTCGTCGACGTTCCGATCTCCGCTTCGGCGGGAGGATCCTTCGACATGGAGTCGTCCTGGGTTGTAGCCACTGCGTTCTCGTTTCCGGCCATTGGCGGACCAGCTGAGATCGGCACTGTGGTGTAAACCAGAAAGACGATTTCGCCGACTTGAGTCCACACCAGCGTTGTTGAAGTGAGAACTCCTTGGTTGCAGTTGGTGTTGACGCTGTTGTCGACGAAGCTAGATGTCATAGTAGTAGAACCTTGAGCACCAAGTGCCCCTACCTGGCGCGCCACTGTCGACGGGGGATACCTGTAGACCGGATATAGAGGGTATTGGGGTACGCTGGTACGAGGATCTACGTAATACGACATCGAGCAAGCAAAAAACAGAGATTATACTGGTTCAGGCCCCTTGATAGGTAATAGCCCTAATCCAGTTGATATGGGATTATATGATGGAAACCACAAATTACAAAGGGAATAGTTGAACTCGACGATACTGACGAGATCGTAGTCGAGTTGATTCGACTAGATCACCCGGCGACTTGGCTCCTGTAGGCTCCGGCTTCGTAGGCTGTGGTGGATGTGTTGGCGGTAAGATTTTCTGCCTTAGGTCCTACCGAAGGGTCCCTTTTATACCGCAGGTCAGCTAGTCTCCAAGTAGGACTCAGAGACATCGGACTTGGTACAATACAATGACGACCCAGTTCTATCCGAGTAGGACTCTTTCCATCTGTAGACTCCATGATGCACTTCCTTAACTTATGCTGAGAACGTCCGTATACGCGCAAGCATACCATATCGATATGTGACGTATATCGAAGGGTAGAGGGTATACCTTACCCGTAACCCTGACACAGAGGGGCCTAGAGATATCTCTCCATAGGAGGGGCAAATCCCATCTTGATTATTCATATCCCACTACATGTTTCATAGCATACCCGACTTTTATAGCTACCCATTTACGGAGTAGCGTTTAGCAGTCCATAAGTAAGCTACAACACATGTTGAAAACCATGATAATCTCAGGTCTAAGGATTCAACACCAACACTAAATGAGATCACTGATGACACAACACATATGGCTCTTGCAATGTCTCATGTTGGGTCTATCCAACAACATGTTCACCAACATATGTCCACATTATTAATTTGGTATCTCTATACCATGATCCATGAGATATGATCATCAATTAATACATGTGCTGATCATATAAACATATTTGTTCCACATATGATATTTGATCAGGGATCCTTTAGAAATAGTAACAAACAACATAAAGAGTCTCATGAAAGAATCACATATTCATTATCCAATAAGGAGTTATCTATTTCAAGGAACAATGTCGGATAAATATGTAAACAAAATATGTGATACAATCATCTCTATAATTGCCTCTAGGGCATATCAGTAACAGGGAGTAGTACCTTTGGTCCATCAAACGTTGTATAACATGACAAATTAAACGTAACGTGACTGGCATGGCACATGCAGCTGGGCATGGGGAGTGCGGTGGAGACGCTGTGCGGGCAAGCGTATGGCGTGCACAAGTACGACATGCTCGGCGTCTACATGCAACGATCCACCGTGCTGCTGATGGCCACCGGCGTCCCGCTCGCCGTCATCTACGCCTTCTCCCGCCCCATCCTCGTCCTCCTCGGTGAGTCCCCGGAGATCGCCAGCGCCGCCGCCGTCTTCGTCTACGGCCTCGTCCCTCAGATCTTCGCCTACGCCGCCAACTTCCCCATCCAGAAGTTCCTGCAGGCGCAGAGCATCGTGGCTCCCAGCGCCTACACCTCCGCGGCCACGCTGGTGCTCCACCTGGTGGTGGGTTGGCTGGTGGTGTACCAGCTCGGCATGGGCCTCCTGGGCGCGTCGCTCGTGCTCAGCCTCAGCTGGTGGGTCATCGTCGCCGCGCAGTTCGTGTACATCGCCGCCAGCAAGCGGTGCCGGCGGACGTGGACGGGGTTCTCCTGGATGGCCTTCTCCGGCCTCCCCGAGTTCCTGAAGCTGTCCACGGCCTCCGCCGTGATGCTCTGCCTGGAGACCTGGTACTTCCAGATCCTCATCCTTCTCGCCGGCCTCCTCGACGACCCTCAGCTCGCCCTCGACTCCCTCACTGTCTGGTGAGAGTAAACTTAATTAATTCTACTGTTGCATTAGTATAATTGTAGAGATGAACAACCTGTTAAGTTGTTTGTATGCGCTGATTGTGATCGTTGCATGCATGTTTGCTTTCATGGACGTACAGCATGACGCTTGCTGGATGGGTGATGATGATATCCATCGGGTTCAACGCTGCAGCGAGGTGTGCTAGCTAGTGTGTGTTGTGTTTACTGGTGGTACTGATTACAGTTGAATTGAACTGAATATATACATGACGATGCAATGTAAATGATAATATATACAGTGTTCGTGTGGGGAACGAGCTGGGAGCGGGGCACCCGCGGGCGGCGGCGTTCTCGGTGGTGGTGGTGACGGCGGTGTCGTTCGTGATAACGGTGGTGATGGCGGTGGTGTTTCTCATGTTCCGCGACTACATCAGCTACATCTTCACGGAGGGGGAGACCGTTGCACGAGCCGTCTCCGACCTCTGCCCCTTCCTCGCCGCCACTCTCATTCTCAACGGCATCCAGCCCGTCCTCTCTGGTAATTAATTAAGCACATTATCATAGCTATAATTAGCTCACTCGATTATCATATCAATCCATATGTATGCTTGCTAGCTGTTGCAGATGTACCCGGTGCATGCATGAACTGAAAAATCTGATTTATCTCTGTCTGTGTATGTGGGCTATAAACAAACAAACTAGGTGTGGCTGTCGGGTGTGGATGGCAAAAGATTGTGGCGTACATCAATGTCGGGTGCTACTATTTTGTGGGTATTCCTCTCGGTTTTCTCCTCGGCTTCAAATTCCATCTCGGAGCAAAGGTACGTAGTTCGCCTTCTGATTATATAATGACCATCATGGTTGCTTTTTTTTCTACTTTTTTTAAGAGTAAATTTCACAAAACTATACGTTTTGTAGCGCAAGTTGCAGAAAACCACGCATACTTTGACACTTGGCATTTAAGTACATATATTTTGGTAATGTAGTTTCACAAAACCACACTATCAATGAATGGATTCACCCGCGAGATGACGTGACCGTTTCACCTAGGATGAGGACATGGCATCCTATTACCAGCCATCGCACGAAATTAATAAGATGACACGTCCTCATCCTTGATGGAACAACCACGTTATCTCATTGGTGAATCCATTCATCGATAGTGTGGTTTTATGAATCTAAACTACCAAAATATATGTACTTAAGTGCCAAGTGTCAAAATATATATAGTTTTCTGCAACTTGAACCATAAAACATGTAGTTTTGTGAAAATTACTCTTTTTTTAAATAATGGATGAATCGCAAATGTTAATCTCCATCACTCTGTTCTGAGACTCTGTTCCGCCATAGGGGATATGGACTGGGATGCTCGGTGGTACCTGCATGCAGACGTTGATATTGTTCTGGATCACTTTCAGGACAGACTGGAACAAAGAGGTACTTTGAACACAATTAACAAACAAGAATGGATTTATATAAATAAAAATGATTCCTTAGTCGCGAGTAAATAAGTATACATTATAACATATGTCAAAAGTACAATCAATTTTAACACTAGTTATTTTGAACAAGGAAATCAGTGCAGCCTACAATAAGATATAGTTGTACTTACCTTATTACAATTTTTTAAGACAACAACATCCCTGACCTCTCCCATGAATAAGGCATACGGCCAAACTAAACTTATTACAATAGTGAAATAGTTTAAAGTACCTGTCCTTATTGATGTAAATTCCACCTAAAATAATTATTCTCATCAGTGAGATTTATAAACACCACTTTGGAAACCAATTCTAACCAACCAACCACTTGGATCATACTCCATCCGTTTCATATAAGTCAATTTAAAATTTTTTCCTAGTTAAACTTTTATTACAAAAAATCTAAAACACCAAATTAGTTTCATTGAATCCAACATTATTGGATACATTTTAATAATATGTTTGTTTGTGTTATAAATGCTACTACGTTTTCTATAAACTTAGTCAAACTTCTTAAGCTTGATTAAAAAAAGTTAAACTAATTTATAATATGAAACATTTAAAGACTTACTCCCAAATTATTGCAATTCAACTAAGTTAAACTAACTTATAATATGTAGTTGATATTACATCCGCAACATATATATTTTGAAAGAAATATAGTCTTCCAAATTATTTTCTTATGGGTGATTTTATGGTTATTGTGAAAATACTAGAAGGCTCCTTTAAAATTTCGTACCTCTTAGTATTTAAGTGGATGTACCCAAATTTGTTGTAGCTCTTGGTACCATAAAATATCTCTTTTCTCTTTTGTTCAATCTGAATAAGCTAATAACATCAATTTTTTTTCCGAACTAACCGTTTTTTGTGACTAGAGGAGTACCATGTAAGAGACGGTGAGTTAGCGAATAGAAGTCCCATTATTAACATCTCCAATATCTAGTGATGTAGTCTGTGTGTGTGCAGGTGGAAGAAGCCAAGAAAAGACTGAATCAATGGGAGGACAAGAAGCAACCGCTTCTTGCAGGCACGGTTGACTACTGATTCGCATGACAAATGTTGGGTAAAATGCTTATGCGCACTTATGCATATATTTTTTTTTGATAATGGAAGCTTTTATTAAACTCAGTCAATTACATCAAGGTGATACAATTATCCTGAGAATACTTCCGGCCTCTGCATAACTAAGATACACACAACTGAACAAACAAAACCACACTCGAAAGGAAAAAAGAATGACATGGAGTATTGAGGACCATCAATCTAACAACTAAATTGCCACTCATGAACAACTCCTTGGCCATCTCCTCCAAAAGCACAGAGTTTTAAGGACCACCAATTCTAAGACTAGATCGCCACCCATATACCTGGGTAAAAAACTCCTTAACCACCTTCTCCAAATGTTGACATGCCGCAACTACCATATCCCGCGAACCAGGCTTCTGTAGGATAGCCCATGTACGAAGCCAATGGATAAGAGAATATATAACCTGCAAAGGTGAAGATATGACTTTTTTTATCAAAAACCACATTATTCCTGCATAGCCAAAGCGACCAACAAGTAGCAGCTGCTCCTAACAGAACATGTGATTTCAAATTATTATGAATTCCATCAAGCCAGCTCCCAAACATATGCGCTACACAATGTGGTGGAGGAAGTCCAGATGCTACTTGGATGATGGACCAAACAGAAAGGGCAAAACGGCCTTCGAAGAAAAGATGTCTAATTGTCTCGTCATTGCAACAAAAACAACAGTTCTTATTGCCTTGCCATTTCCTTTTATCAAATTGTCCTTCGTTAACACCACTCCACGGCGCAAGTACCAAAGAAAAATCTTAACTTTTAGGGATATCTTTAATTTCCAAAGACGGTTATTAATGTTGAGAACATTGCAATGAATTAGAGCTAGATAATGAGACTTCACCGAGAACTCCCCATTTGAGGTTAAGTTCCAATGAAACTCATCTTGCTCCTGAGTTAAATGAAAACCAGTGATGTGCGGTAATAAATTATTCCACGCCACTAGTTTTGATCCTATAAGATCTCTTCGCCATGAAAAAGATGGAGGATTGTTTTCGAAGACTTGTGCAATTGTAGCGTGCTTATGCCTAACTATGTTGTAAAGGCAAGGATACTGTTCTTTCAAGGTTGAATTGCCCAACCATTTGTCTTCCCAAAACCTAATTTGGGAGTCATCTTTAATTATAAAGGATCCAAAACGGAGAAAGTCCCGTTTCACCTTCATGAGGCTAGACCAAAAGTGTGAGTCCCCTGCCTTCCATTGAGCTTGAGAAAGAGGTTTATCACCGAGATACTTATTACACATCAACTATTGCCAAACCCCTTTCGTGGAGAGCAACTTGAATAACCATTTACTAAGTAGAGCCATATTCTTAATTTCCAAATCATGAATTCCTAATCCCCCTTGTACCTTGGGGCGGCACAGTATGTTCCATTTAGCAAGACGATACTTTTTTTTTACCATCACTTTGCCAGTAAAACCTGGAGCGAAAGTAGTCAAGCTTTGTAAGTATCCCTCTTGGTATGGCAAAGAAGGACATCATATACAATGGGAGGCTACTTAGCACCGAATTAATCAATGTTAGCCATCCTCCGGTAGATAGGAGTTTTCCTTTCCAACTGCTTAGACGCTTTTCAAAGCGTTCTACAACCTCCTTCCAATCGGCATTTCTTAATCTCCTATAATGAATAGGGATACCCAGATACCGAAATGGAAATTGACCAGTGGAACAACCAAAGAGTTCCATGTATTCGTTTCAAAATCTTTCGCTTCACCGAAGCAATATAATTCACTTTTATGGAAATTTATCTTAAGACCCGATAATTGCTCAAAGACAAAAAGCAACAACTCCATGTTACGAGCTTTTTCTAGGTCATGATCCATAAAGAGAACCGTATCATCGGCATATTGCAAGATAGAGAGACCATCATTAATTAGATGTGGTACTACTCCTACAATTTGCCCATCCTCTTTGGCTCTATTAATTAGTACAGTCAACATGTCAGCTATAATATTAAATAATATAGGTGATAAGGGATCACCTTGACGTACCACCTTCTCTGTCTGAAAAAAAAGTCCAACTTCGTCATTAACCTTTACCGCTACGCTTCCTCCAGAAATGAAAGACTCAACCCAAGAGATCCACTTAGGCGAGAAACCTTTCATATGTAGAGTTTGTAAGAGGAAAGGCCATTTGACTTTATCATAGGCTTTTTCGAAATCTACTTTAAAAATTATCCATTTAGTTTTTTACGATGTAATTCGTGTACAGTTTCATGAAGGACGACAACTCCCTCTAGGATATTCCGTCCACTCATGAAGGCTGTTTGAGAAGAGCTCACCACATGGTCCGCCACGAAATTAATTCTATTTGTTGCGACCTTGGTGAAAATTTTGAAACTGACATTCAAAAGACAAATTGGCCTGTACTGTTGTATACGGTTTGCCTCATGAACTTTTGGAAGAAGTGTAATTATCCCAAAATTGAGACTAAACAATGGTAAATCACCCACATGGAAATCCCGGAATAGATTCATCAAATCATCTTTGATGACCTCCCAAAAATTCTGGTAGAACTCCACTGGGAAACCATCTAGACCAGGGGCTTTGTTGTGTTCCATTTCAAACACAGCTCCCTGGATCTCATCCTCCGAGAAAGGTGCTGTTAGGAATTCATTTTCCTCATTCATTACCTGCGGAATATCCTCAATTCTAGATTCATCTAGTGTGATGGAAGTATCCTCAGGTGGCCCAAAAAGATTTTTATAGAATTTAGTAATATAGGACTTCAATGCTATATTACCTTCTATTTTCCCTTCGTCCTAATCGAGGAAAAAATACGTTTTTTCCTTTTCTTACCATTGGCAACCATATGGTAATACTTGGTGTTATTGTCCCCTAGTAGGATGTCAGTAACTTTTGCCCTTTAGTACCATTTGATTTCTTCTTCTCGAAGAAGTCTGGATAACTGATCTCTAGATTGAGCAAGATGCTCTCTCTCACTATCAGTTAATTCCCGTACCTCGGCTGTGATGTCTAACTCATCAATGATATTTTGTACGGTATTTTTTTCTTGTTTGTAAGAACCACTGGTGTGAGCCGCCCAACCTCGAAGATGTCTTCTCGAAACACTCATCTTATTGTTCCATCTTTGAACAGGGTTGCGGTCCTTAACTGGCTTATTCCAGATTTCTATAACACGGTCACAAAAATCATCCCAAAGGAACCAGCCAAGTTCAAGTTTGAACTGTGCAGGGTTCCCCGAAAAAGCTGCTGATCCAGTGTCTAGTAGCAATGGTGTGTGGTCTGATAGAACTCTGTCTAATGCTTGGACAGAAACCAAAGGATATTTGGATTCCCATTCCGTAGTCATTAGAACTCTGTCTAATTTCTCATATGTTGGGGATGGTAGAGAGTTAGCCCAAGTAAATTGTCTTCTCGTCAAAGCAATTTCTCTTAGATCAAAGCTGTCAATAACAGCATTGAAAAGAAAAGGCCATCGGTCATTGAATCTGTCATTGTTCTTTTCCAAGCTGCTCCTAAGAATATTAAAGTCACCCCCTATAAGGGTGGGTAGCGGATTTTGTTGACAGGCACGAACTAACTCCGCTAGAAAACTAGATTTGAATTCATCTTGTGCCGGTCCATAGACTGCCATTAAAATCCATTTGAATTTGTCTTCCTTATTGACCAGGTGGAATTTAACATAAAATTCGACTTCGACAATCAAAGACAAATCATAGGTCGATGCTTTCACCCCAAGTATAATTCTGCCAGATCTGCCGCGAGGTGGGAGACAATGCCAAACGAAATCTACACCCCCAGATAGACGGTTTAGATTCGTCTTTGACATATCACTCTTGCTTGTTTCCATAAGTGCAACAAAATCTAAATTGTGCTCCTTTATACATTCTGCCACATATCGGTATTTAGCCAAGTCACCGAGACCTCTGCTATTCCAAAATATGCCTTTCATAATAACACAATTTTAGAGATTATGTAAAGGAACGGTTTCTCTGTCCCTTTTTCTTATTTGATTTAGATTTTCTCGCGGACACCATCAAGTCGCAAATTTTGCTACTCATGTCCACATCATCTAAATCCGCCTCAGAGACATCTTTCACTAAGTGAGCGAGTAGGCTACCGTCAAGTTCGGTATCCTCGTCATCACTAGCATCAAAAGGATTGTCTTTCTCTAAAGTTTGATTCTTAAAAGGTTGATGAGAGCCATTTATTTTAGGTGCTGCTATTGAACGATCTAGTTCAATATGTTTCAATTTATTAATGGAAATTGTAATGTCAGAGCTAGAAGAACCCAAAGAAACACCCACATTACTTAGATGAGAAGAAACTCTATCATCTGGTAAAGACGTAATTGAAAAAACATGTTTACCTTGTGGGGGAGAAGCTGGTGTAGTGTCAGAGCTCGGCGGAGAATTAATTACAGCCAACTCCTTCACTCCTTCACTGGACCATCTAGGTTGCAAATAGCTTTTTGCCTCATTGCCTTACTGAGTGAATCATCATCTGTCATCGCAATTCCGCTGATCTGTTCAGCATTCGAACGACCACTTCGGCGAAGACCATTGCAATCTCCAGGAGAGGATAACACCAGCCATTCTTCATAGTTTCCTTGTGTCATTTGCTGCGAACTCAGTGGTGCTGAAACAGTGCCCATGCGCACCTTACTTGTGCTCCCAAATGGAGCAACAGTACTGCCTACACTGCACTTCTTCACTAGTGGCATTGAAAGATGACCATCCATCAAGCCTGGTGATGGGTTTTGTTGCTTACTAATCGGATGTGCCACCGGGACAGCATGTTGCTTTCTATTAGATTGTATTTCTGTTGCTGATAGCGTGCGCGGCACTGCCTCGATCTCCTGCACCTCAGCTGCGTTCATACGAATATTCTCTGGGCCAACCGATCTGGGAGTAGCAGGTGGTGAGATTCCTGCTGGACTGATCTCCTGTGAAACATCAGGATGCTGCAGCTGCAGCCCTACCAAGTCCATCACCACAGGCCGGCAAGATGGAGACGA